GAATATGTCTTGGTGTCTTTACTCTCACCAGGGGTTGCATTGGAGGTAGTAGATTGGAACTAATTTGCAGGAATTCCAAATATGTTTCAATGGGATTACAAATACAACTTTCTGGATTGTGAGGAGGATTGGAAATGGAAAAGGGATTATAACATTTGGGTTACAATATTCCCCATCTACAAAGTGGGGAGAGATTGCATGTGCCTCTCAACACTGATGGAAGGGTTCAAACATGATCCATACATCCACTGTGGGGCAGAGACAGCTGATCCATGAGCCAGGCACCCTCTTAGCAGGAGCACCTCAAGTACAAGCCTCCCACCCTCCAGACCTCCTGTCTGCCTGCCTGGTCCAATAGGGGAGATGGACTGAACCAGGAGCAACGGGGCTGTGGCAGCGTTTCCCAGCCCGGAAGGAAGAGGTGAAGATATCTGTACCCACACCCCCACAAGTCTGCTCAGGCTGGAAGCTCCCCCTCTTGCTGCAGGGCTAGGGAAACTGAGGCCAAGACTCCTCCAAGCCCTCCCCTTTTGCAACTGTGGACCTCCTGCCTGCCTGCGAGTTGATCTTTCTGGTCGCCTAGACTGAGAGACATCCCTGATCCCCACCACCACCCCCTTGTCTTCTCTTCTACCCTACAACCCTGCTCACCCTCCTCCTCCTCCTTCTCCTCCTCTTCATTCTCCTCCTCTGCAGCCCAAAGCAGGGAGTCGCTCTTCCTCAGGCCCCTGGCCAGGTGCTCCCTGGAGCGGTTTCAAATGATTTCTAAAATCACATGGAAGAGCCAGCTGTGGTGATGCATGTCTGAAATCCCTGCACTGGGGAGGCTGAAGCAGGAGGATTAGTATGAGTTTGAAGCCCACCTGGGCTACACAGTGAGACCTTGTCTAAAACAAGTGACACAAATCACACAGAAGAAAACAAACACCACCAAACCTTGTGGTTAAGAGGGCAAACCATGGGCCCAAGTCACACCTGCTGCCAGTCTCAGACTTGTGGAGCCTCAATTTTTGCATCCATAAAGTGGAGCTAGCAGATCAAGGTACAACAGGGCCCCAGTCTCAGTTCCTGTTGTCCCATCCATCCCTTCCTTGTACCCTCATCCCTAGAGAACAAGGATGAACTTTTTTTTTTTTTTTTTTTTTTTGGTACTGGGACTCAAACTCAGGATTTCATATCTGCCAGGCAGGTGCTGTGCCACTGAGCTAAATCCCCAGCCCAAGATAAGCTGTTTTAAATCATCAAGCATTCTCCAGTCTTTGTCATACTTTGGCCCTAAAACTGCCACCAAGAACAGCCCAGCAGTTACCCTTCGATTGCATTCAGGGAAACTCAGAGAGGCCCTGTGCTCCATCTGTAGCCACACAGCAAGTGACAGCCCAGCAGATCCCAAGCCTGGCCTGAGTCTGGAAGCAGAGCCTGGAGGCTGGGCCCGGAACCAAACACTGGATGCCAGCACAAAGCCCCTGTGCCCTGCCCTGGGACCGACCCCTGGCAAAGCCAGATGCTTCCCAGGCCGGGCTGGGCTGCACTTACTATTCTGAGTTCTGCTACCCATGACACAAGCAGCAGGAATGTGGGGAGCCCCGGGTGGCGTGTTATGTTGGGAAATGCATTGCTCCACTGTGGCAGCCAAGGGATGGGCAGCCGGGGGTGAGACTGGGGTGCAGCCAGCAGTGGCTCCATGGGGCGGTGAAGAGCAGGCTGCAGGGGCCAACTTGGGGGCTGCTAGGTGGAACCGGCCCAGGCACAAATGTGTTCTGGGGTCCCAAGCACCTGTAATGACAAACGAGAGCTTCAGATGCGTGTTGTGGGGCGGGACTAAGAAGGGGGCTAGGGTGTCAGGAAACAAGCATGGAATCCAAAAAAGGTTTTTTTTCCAACTGCTGGTAACTGATATGATTCCTCAGGAGAATCTCTGGGAGCTGGAGTGCAGGAATCTCAGGGGGCTCTGTGGAGAGCTCCCCATCTAGGGGAGCAAGCTGGAGTGTTTGGTCCACTCCCGTCAATGCAGGCTGCTCCTAAGCATGAATCCCCCTGTAGAGGGGCCCCTGCCCTGTCCTGGTTGGCTCGGGATTCATGAGTGAGGGCATGACATACTCAGGCCTTTCCTGCATGCGCTGTTCACAGCACTCCCCAAGTGCCCGGAACCCACAGCCCTATCGCTTGTGGAAGATTAGGTCCCATCCCAGGGACGGAGAAAGAAAAGTTGGTACCCAGAGAAATAAAAAGCAGGAACTGAGCCAGGAGTCATGGCACACACCTCAGTTCCCGGTGCCAGCTCTCACCATCTAAGGGAGACCCGGCCAACTGGGCAGCCCTCCCGCTGCAGAAGGAGGATGCAGCCCACCCACCCCTCTGGTCAGGAAAGCCTGGAGCTTATGCCAAGCACCAGGCTTAACCGTCAGCATGAGCGGCGGGAATTCATTCTCTCTCAGCTGGGCACACTCCAAAAATGTGCAACCCAGCAACAGAACATGGTGACCTGACTTCCAGCTCTGTTCACCGGGCCTCTATAGTGGGCAACAGGGGCCTGGAAAGGCACAGACCCCTCAAGATTGCTATGCTCTTAGGTGTCCACTGAAAAGCAGCTCCCTGAGGGCTGTCATCAATGCTTTGGCTTTTAAAACACCCTTTCCTGCTCCTTTTAGCTGGTTTTGGAGACGATGGGGCAGTGATGCTATACTGTTTCAATCTGAAATTCTCCAACAGTTGACAGAACACCTAGGCCAGCCGTAAGGGAACAGGGTGACAGGGCATCTGCAGCATACAAACAGGCCGGGATAAGTCACAGACAGCTACATGACCCACATGGCAGCAACTCGGAGGGTTTGTGGAACTGGAGTCCCCAGTCACCAGCACTGCTCGCCAAAAAGCAAGATGGTCCCTACAGAGGGAGGGAGTCAAAGCTGTGAGGAGCCCTGCAGGCTTCTGTCCTCAGCAACAGGGGCAGAAGATGGGAGCAAGCGGGGACCAGAAACCAGGGGTACAGGACACAGGGGGTCACATTCCTGATCTCTTCTCAAAATTAAGCAAAGTCCAGCTGAGGCAGGATACAGCTGTTATCCCGGCACTCTGGGAGGCTGAGGCAGGAGGACCATAAATTCCAACAACTCAGTGACTTGAGAGACTCTCCTGAAAGTAAAAAAGGGCTGGAGGTAGAGCTCAGGGGTAGACTACACCTTAGTTTGACTTCCAGTGCTGGAGAAAAGAAAGAGAAGAAGGAGAAGGAGAAAGAGGAGAGGGAAAAGGAGAAGGAAAGAACAAAGAGGAAAAAGAGGAAGAGGAAGGAGAAGGAACAGCTAATAGAATTTATGAAAGTAGCATGAATCAAAATTAGAAAACCAGGCCTGGGGATTTAGCTCGTGGCATAAGCGCCTGCCTTGCAAGCGTATGGTCGTGAGTTCGATCCCTGGTACCGATAAAAAGAAAGGAAGAAAGAAAGAAAGAAAGAAAGAAAACCTCAGAAATGAAATTAGAGAAAAGAATTTGAGAAGAAGTGATGAAATTCAGGAATTTCAACAAAAGAAGAAACAAATTAGGAAACGCAGACTAAAATGAGAAGGAACATAAGCACATGTAAGTATCCCAAATTAAGAGAAGCAGACTATGGGAAGCAGAAGAGCGTGGAAAAGAAGGGTCGCAGGGGCCCACCCCGTGCACAACCTTGAAACACACAAATCCGCAACTGCGGAGCCCTCGCTGTGTGGCTCCCGGAAAGAGGGGAATGGAGAGGGATTTCCTGGAGTTTGAAACCTGCGTGGCCTGGAAGTCATGATGCACGATGAGTGCGGCAGCTGCGCAGAGCTGCTCCGTCCTCTGAACACCCGTGCGGTTCCTGATGCCCAGGGGTGGTGCTTTTGGGTCAGTCTCCAGCTTCTGCTTTGCCACCTGCTGGGGTACCTCGGGAGAGAGCCGGCCACAGCTGCCTCAGGTCCTCTGGCTGCAGCCGCCCAGATGTGAGACACCACGCATGCGCGCCGGCACACACACACACACACACACACACACACACACACACACACAGGTGCGCACACGAGCACGCATGCGTGCTCTGCTTCTCCTGCAGGCATGTGTGCCCCTTCTTGTACGGCAAACCCCTTATTCCAGGAACACATAGAGGAGCTCTGTGTCTGGCCCCAGCTCAAATGGACATAGTTATATTTTGTTATGAATTGCAGACGCGGGTGCTGGGAGAACAGAACCTTAAAGAGGAGATTCTGAAAGCTGTTGTCCACCCTGATTACTGGCAACGGCATTCATGACCTCATCGTCACCAGTAAATGGGGCACACGTCTTCCCCGATGCGTGCAGTCCGAACAGTCGCTCAGGGCCGAGCTGTTGGGACAACTCGTGGTGCTGAGAGGGAAGAGTTCACACGCCGTGAAGTGGGTCGGCGCCTCCCATTGCACTGGAAACAAAATACTGTGATCTCCAGGCTTCAAATACCGACTACAGGCCCTAAAGTATCAGAAAACATCTTCTTCTGCCCAAAGAGAAGCCCATAGCTCTTGCAGACACCTGCCATAAGCAAAGTTGAGATTTTGGAAAATCCAAACCAATTCTGGTCTTGCAAGTGGCTAAATTACAATCATACAACTACAGTTAATCCTCAATCCAGGAAAGAAGAGATTGGTACCAGAATCCCCAGAGATACCAAAATCTCCAGAGGCTCAAGTTTCTTCTATAAAATAACAAGGTTCCAGGGGAAGTAGAGCATACTCGTAATTCCAGCACTCAGGAGGCTGAGGCTGGAGGTTGCTTGAGCTCAGGAATTCAAGACTGACCTCATAAAACTGTCTCAGAAACACACCATCATCATCATCATGATGCATGGTATTTGCATATAAATTATATGAATCCTCCTACATTCTTTAAATTATCACTAGATTACTTATAACACATAATACAATATAAACACTATTGAGCTACCATAACTGTTCTTCTGTATTGTTTTGGGTGTAGTGACAAGAAAAGTCTGAACATACCCAGTCCAGATGCAGGATTTTTCCAGACTTTTTTATCTATCTGCAGTGGGGTTTATTGAAGAATTGAGTTTTAGGGAGGAATCAAGCAATGGCTTCAAATAATGTGTTCATTTTAAATAATGTAACATCAATAATAAACAAAATCAGTAAAACTAGGAAGACTAGTGCCAACCCAGCTATGTTTGTACAATGGCTTCAGTATTTTCCCTATATCCACTTGTATTTATACATATTATGTTTATACAGCATGGTCTAGCTTTCACTTAATATATTTTACACATATTTTCCTTTTTGACCTATTTTTAAATTTTATTAGTATAACTTTACAATACACAATGATTACATGCTCCATGGTGAGTTGGGATATACACAAAACACATCTTAATTCTCCTTCTCTCCCCTTCTCCTCCCCACCCGTCCTCATTTACAGGTATTTTTATCCAAAGTTGGTTGAATCCAATATGTGGAGCCCGGGGATATGGAGGACCCCTAGATTTGAACTCATGGCCACTCAGTTCTCTGTGGTCAGAATCAGGGCACAGATGGGAAAGAAAAGAACTCAGAATATGGACAGGGGTTCCTTTAAAGACTCCAATGAAGCAATAATGTTGAACCTCTACATCCCATAGAATCTCTGGCCAGGACAGCCCATCCCCTACCCCACACCCAGACGTAAAATCTGACCCATGAAGATGTATACAAGTAGCAAAAGAATTGCAAGCCCAGGGAGGAGAAACGTTGTGTTGGGCCAAGCTTTGATTTCCATGTCAATGTACTTACCGTAGTTCTGGATTCAGCGTTGCTAACTTAGAGGCTGTTGGAACTCTGAAGTGGCTGGAGTCTAGGAGCCCTTAGACACAGGAGAGTGTAGCCACTGCCACAGCAAGAGCCAGAGTGATGACCAGGACGGCTTGACTCACACAGGCCAAGGGCTCATGAAGCATCCAGGAGTGAAATACTGGTTTAGCCACGTACTGGTAATCCACTATTTTGACTTGAAAAACTACAATTTAACATGCCTCATCCTGAAAGATAGGCAACCCTCCAAGCTCTTGATTGCTCTGAATAAGAAGAACAGTGGATTTGATGACTCGAGCTGGACTAGGATCACTGTGGTGGAAATTTCACCAGCCCCAGAGACTACCCTGTACTTCACAAATGATGGAGAGGCTGAATACCTTGGAGGAAGAACCCTGCTACGCTACCACAAAATTTTACAATGTTCCTCCTGGCCTTCCCTAAAGAGACCTGGAACCATTAATGTGGGAGAGCAAAGGGGAGAGAGAGAAAAGGAAACACTGAGATTTGATCAGCTTAGATCCGCTGTCCTGACGCGGACTCTGCCCGACACAATCATTACTGTGGCCTCCAGCTGGAGTAGGGGCTCCTGGAGGTCATGAGATGAATGGGGTTTTTTATAGCAAGACAGTGTGCACTAGCCAAGTCCTGAAAACAGCTCAAATGCCCATCAACTGATGAATGGATAAAGAAGAGGTTTTTTTGTTTTATATAATATAGTGGTGCTTGGCCATAAAGAAGGAGAAGACTGAGACATTGCTCCCTAAATGGATGGGCTTTGAGATCATACACTTCTTTTTGGCGGGGTGGGAGTGTACCAGGCATCAAACTCAGGGCCCTGGGCTTGCCAGACAAGCGCTCCACCACTGAGCTGTATCCCTGCTCCAAGATCATACCCTTAAGTGAGATAAACCAGACACACACATTCAAATACCACACAGTTTCTGTGATGTGAGAAACCGGCAATGTAAATAAGGACCAAAATGTGAAAGAGATATTGGGAAATGGGAAGAAAATGTTCAAATGAGAAGGGGAACAAGAAGGCTGAGGGAAAACAAAAGAAGGGACAAGAAAAAAGACTAGGAAAAAAAAGTGGAAACAAACCTTATGTTAAATAAGGAGGGAAGAGGGTGACACAGAGGAGGAGAATGTGGGGGGAGATAAACAGGATGTAACATGCACAGGTACAAGCTCCCTATGATGAACATGATCATTATATGTATCTAAAATGTACCAATAAAAATTTTTAAAAGATAAAAAAAATGAATGGCTTTGGCTCTGACTTATCTACAGGCAGCTTGGTGGCCCTAGGGGTCACACATAGTCCTCTCCCCAGACGCCTAAGGCAGCTGGGCCAGGCGCTCTCAGCAGCTCCCTGTGACAGTGGGAGGATTACTTCATAGACATGGCCAAGCACAATCACCAGATCTGCCTCTCTTTCTTTCCCAAAATAAAAAGCAAAATTCATATTACAAATTTAATCAAGTGGACTCCAACTTCATGGTGGTCTTCTTGCTATGACTTGTTTAAGTGCCCCACTAAAGCCTCATGCAGTCATGGAAGTGGCTGAATCTAGCGTTTGTGATTGGTTCATTGTCTAGTGCTGGGATTGGTGGTGTGAATGCTGCACCTGCCCAGGGGCAGGGAGCCAGCATACAATATAGGGGAGGGAAGGAGGTGGGCTTTTCCCTTTTTGTCCTTTTTGCTATCCTTGCTTGCAGCTGCCATGAACTGCTGTCCCTCAGCCATGCCACCCTGCCTTAGAGCCAGCTGAGTATGGACTGAAACCTCTAAAAACTGTAAGCTACCTTTCCTCCCTTAATTGGGGTGTCAGGTATTTTGTCTCAACAATGAGAAAAAAGTTACCAAGACACTTCTAGATGTGGCATCTGAAAATTGCTTTTTTTCCTTTTCTTTTCTTTTTCTCCCCAAGTACTGGAGATCGAGCCAGGGCCTTTGCATTAAGCTACATCTCCAGTAAGTTTTTTCTTAAACTTTTATTTTGGCATAAAATTTGACCTAATGATTCACTGAGTCTTTACATTGCCCATGCTGAGGCTCCAACTTGGAATCCTCCTGCTTCCACCTCTCAGAGTTTTGAGAGGCTCTACCTCTCAAAACTACCTACACTATCATACCTGGCTTGGATATGGTGTTTTTACTGCAGAAAGTCAGCAATACCTAGAGAGTCATTTCTTCCTCCATACTCATTACTTAAAATGAGAAGTTTGTTTTCACTCAATAGTGGCAGCAGCACTCTCCAGTCTCCACCACCAATTAGTTCTCATGATTACCTTGCCATTCCACAGGATGACAAATGATCCAATATACAGTAGTTTCCTTCACCCTTAACCATGAGCTGAAAATATTAAATGGAAAAATCCAGAAGTAAACAATTCCCAAGTTTTTAAATAACAGGCCCTTCTGCACAGCATGAAGACATCTCACACCTCTCTGTCCTGCCCAAGACATGAATATACTCTGTGTTGTGTAAACCTCCTGTGTACATCACCTGCCCATTTGTACCTGCCATCATTGGGATCTTGAATGTCCCTATATGGGAGGCAGAGGAATCTTTAGTAGGTCCTAGTGGAAGTGAGGTATTTGGGGGTGGCCTTGGAAGGAGATGTGGGAACCCTAGTCCCTACTTGCCTCTCTGTTTGACTTCCTGGGTCCCATGAGGTGAGCCTCCTCAACCAGGTGCTCCCACTCTAATGTACTATGCTGCAGCAGAGGCAAGCCACCATGGCTGAAACATCTGAAATTGTAAGCTAAAATAAACCTTCCTTCCATTTAAAGTATTTGCCTCAGGTGTTTTGTTACGGTGATGAAAAACAAACAAAAGCTCTTAGCAGTGTTCAGTGTTAGACTGACTATCACAGTGTTACACTGATTGTGTCAATTACGGCTGCCACAACAACCTAACACTGTCTCAGGATCACTGCATCACTACACTTCATCTCACCATGTGTCTTTGTTTTCTTGTTGCTGAGACAAAATAACAGACACTCAAAGTTAAAGGGGGAGAGGCTTATTTGCCTCATAGTCAGCTGGTTCCAAGGCAGGGTGGCATGCAGAGGAGGATTGCAGAGGACAAACAGTTCACGACAGGAAATAGACAGAAAAAGCAAGCAGGTGAATAGCAACCCAGCAAGGGAACAAGAGCAGCTCCTTTCTGTCCCACTTTTTCTATCTAGGCTACCTGGCTTAGGGTGTGTGCTAAACCTACTAGTGGACTAATTTACTAGTCACACACTCATAAGCCCAGAAGCACACATTCTCTAGCTCAAGCCACCCTAAGAAATCCTCACATCACTACATGAGACTTGATGGGGGGGGAGGATCCAGACACAAACCTTAACATTCTGCCCCAGCTCCTGAAGACTTATATACATTTCTTTGTGCAAAAGGCATTTAATCCATTGCCTAAAGTTGCCAGAATTCTGTTTCAGCATTGTTGAAAAGTCCAAGTCCAAAGTCTCCTCTGAGATTGAAGGCAGACTCTTAGCTATAAACTGATGTACAAATGAAAATTAAACACATCCAATGGCACAAGACAGACATTTCCATTCTAAAAGGTACAAAGAGGTGGAAAGAAGGAATGGAAATAAAGTAAGACCAAAATCCAGCAGGGTAAACTTTAAGTCTTGTAGTTCCATGTCCAGCATCTGAGGAAATTTGTGGCAAGATGTGAACTTCAAAGGGCTCGGGTGGCACTGCCCTGGGTGCCACTGCCCTTACAACACTGCTAGTGGTTGTAGCTTCCATGGCTTCTCTCTCGGGTCAGCTCTGATCCCCCATTGCACTTTCCCTCAGATGATCCACATCCCTGGCTTCTCCAAACTTCTGGGGTCTCCACTGCACCGTTAGGATCACACTGCCCTTTCAGGGGCACATTGTATGGCCTTCCAGGCCTCCTTCTGAATCTGAAGGCCTTCTGCCTGGCCTTCCTGATCCCATAACTCTTGAATTTTTCATGCACTTATAACCAGCACCGTGTGAATGACCCAAATGTCAGCCGCCAGCTGACATTGGCTGTAAGGGTCAAGGGCCTATAAACAAAATCCCAAGAAACAGCTTCCACAGGCCACCACCATTCTGGAATATGGTTCTCTGGGGCTCTCTTCTCAAAGCAGTCTTTCACTCTTGCAATTTTAAGGCTGCCGAGGGTGGAGTCCTGCTGGGTTTTGTGATGTTCTCATGCCCTCTTTTCTGCTGTCCTCTTCCTTTTCAGCAACTAAGTTATCTGCTCTTTCTTTGCAGTCTACAATTTTACTGGTGCTTCATTTATGGCCAAACTCACAGTGCTTAAAATCATTCTTCTGGGTTCTTTGCTCTTAATTCTCAGTGTAAGTCTGGTTAATAGCCCCAAACAGTAGCCATTCCTGTTCCCCAATATTAGACTGTCTTGAAATTTCTTCTGCAAGATTAATTAGTCATTTGCCCTTAATCTCAGCCTCAGGCAAAGTCTATGGACATGACAAACTTTCTGCCAAGGCATAATGTGTATGTTCTAACCTCCAACCCAAATTGGTGTTCCCCACAAAACTATCTTTCAGAATGGATGGAGAAATAAGATAATTCCATGTCAAAGAACACCTGAGGAAATTCATGATTACCAAACTGGCACTAAGAAAGATTCTGAAGACCTGCTAGAAAAAGATAACAAGGACTACAACTCCACAAATCCCAACAGAATGAATCCACCAGGAAAGGCAAGCAGTTAAACAGGGGGAAAGGGAACCAACAGGAAAATAACACAACAAGGATCACTCAGTGCGTATCAGTTAGAACCATCAATGTTAATGGTCTCAACGCACCAATCAAAAGACACAGACTGGCAGAATGGAGCAAGAAGCAAGATCCAACAATATGCTCCACAGGAGAAACATTTAATTCAAAAAGAAATTCATAGACTGAAAGTTAAAGGATGGAAAACCACACCCCATGCAACAGGGACTCAGAAAAAAGCAGGAGTAACAATTTTATTTTCAGACAAAGAGGATTACAAGACAAGACTAAGAGAGAGAAAAAAGGGGTTGGGGATTTAGCTCAGCGGCATAAGCACCTTCCTTGCAAGCAGGCGGTTGTGAGTTCAATCCTGGTACCAATAAAAAAAAAAAAAGAGAGAGAGAGAGACAAAAAAAAGTCACTACATCCTGGTAAAGTGAATAATCCAAGAGGAAGAGATAACAATCATAAATATATATGCATCAAAATGCATATATATATATATGCATACTAGCTCACCCAAATACAAAACAAATATCAAAAATATTTGAAAAATCAAATAAACACTACAATTGTAATGGGAGACCTCAATATCACACTGTCACAAATAGATCAACTAGTCAAAAAAATCAACAAAGAAATATCAGAACCCAACCAAACTTTTGAACAAATGGACTTAGTAAATATCTAAGATCGTTCCACCTCACAAAGTCAAAATACACATTCTTCTTATCTGCACATGGGACAGTCTCCAAAATAGACCACATACTAGCTCATAGAAAATGTTTAAGTAAATGCAAAGGAATTTAAATTACCTCATACATATTATCAGACCATAGTGCTGTAAAATTTGAAACCAATGGCAAAAGAAACCATAAAAACTTCATAAACACAAGGAAACTAAGTATGACCCTCCTGAACAATCATTGGTCACAGATGAAATGGAAGAAATTGGAAGCCGGGTGTGGTGGTGCATGCCTGTGATCCCAGCACACATGTTCAGAGTTATCCTTGGCTACCAAGGGAGGCCATATCTCAAAAAAAAAAAATTAGACAATTTCTACAAGTAAACAATAATGTCAATACAACATACTGGAATTTATGGGACATAATGTAAGCAGTCTTATGAAGGAAATTTATAGTGGTGAATTCCCATATCGAAAAAACAGACCAAGCTCAAATAAACAACTTAATGTTGAACCTTAAGCAAGTCAAGCCCAAATCTCAAATGAGGGAGGAAATTATAAAGATCAGAGCAGAAATTAATATAATAGAGTCTAAGAAAACAATTCAAAGAATCAATGAATTGGTTGGTTTTGTGAAAGATTAAGTAAAATTGACAAACCAGTAGCCAATATTATCAAAAAAGGAAAAACTCAAGCCCATGTAATTAGAAATGAAAAGGGTGAAACACACTAGATCCTACATAGACCTAGAAGATCATGAAAACCTATTTCAAAAATGTGCATTCTAATAAGATGGAAAAGCTTGACTAAGTAACTCAGCAGTTCCACCTTTTCGGGTATAGAGGACATGCCTTTACTGCTCCAAGATGTTGTTCTTTGTCAATTTAAGAAGTTTAGAAGTTTAACTAGGAAACTCAGCTGAGGACCACGGTCCTCACTTTGTAAACACCCTCCTCCTGTGCAAGAGGAAGGCTTGGAGGTGGTAGGGGTGCGATACAAGCCTTGTGGGGAGCCTGCTTTACAATATAAGGGAGGAAGAGAGACTTGTTCTCTTCTTTTTTGCTCCTGTTGCTTTGTTGTCTTCTGCAGCCATAACTGTTTCCACTCTGCTGCACCACTCTGCCTGGGAGCCTACTGACTATGGACTGAAACCTCCACAAACTGTAAGCTAAGCAAACTTTTCCTTCTTTAAGTTTGGGTGTTGGGTATTTCATCCCAGCAACAGAAGTAACCAAGACATCAACCTTATTTTAAAAAAGAAAGAAAATACTCAAGTCCATGCAATTAGGAAAGAAAAAGGTGAAACCACAACAGAGCCTACAGAAATCCAGAAGATCATCAAAATCTATTTCAAGAACATGCATTCTAATACAAAGGAAAACAAGAAATGGACAGGTTCCTAAATATATATGAATTACCAAAGTTGAATAAAAAAGATATAAAAATTCTAAATAAATTGATATTAGTCAATGAAATTGAAGATATAACTGAAAACCACCTACTAAAAAGAAAAATCCTGATGGACTCATTGCTGAATTCTGTAAGAAATTTAGAGAAGACCTAATGCTGCTAATTCTCAAACTTTAATGCAAGTGAAAGGGAAGCAATACTCCAAATTCATTTCTGGAAACAAGCATTACCCTGAAAAGAATCCAACCAAAAAAGAATACTATAGCCAATCTGCCTAATGAACATAGATGTAAAAATCCTCAATAAAATACTGGTAAACAAAATGAGGCAAATCATCAAGACCATAATCAAGTGGAATGCAGGAATGGTTCAACACATGTCAATCAATAACTGTAATACAGCATATTAACCAAGCCGAGCACAAAGACCATATGGTCATCTCAAAAGGTGCAGGAGAAGTATTTGACAAAGTCCAACACTCATTCATGATTTAAAAAAAACAACAGGAAACAAAACTTTGGGGATAGAGCTCAGTGGCACAAGGTCATGAGTTCAATCAAGCTCAGCCTGGCAAGCACAAGGTCATGAGTTCAATCTCTGGTACCAAGAGAAAGACAGAAAGAGAGAGAAAATGAAAAAGAAAAAAAACCTGCAGAAAACTGAAATAGATGGCCTTTATCTCTACTTGATAAAAGCAACCTATGAACAACCCACAGCCATCATCATATTAAATGGACAAAAACTGAAAGCTTTCACTCTAAAATCAGGAACAATTCAAGGATGTCCACTGTCTCCACTCTTATTCAATACAGTCCTGGAAACATTACCAGAGCAACGAGGCAAGAAAATGAAACAAAAGGAATAAGGATAGGAAAGGAAGAATTTAAATTATCATTATTTGCAGATAATGTGATACTCTACATAGAAGACTTCAAAAACTCCACCAAAGACTTCTAGATTTAATAACAAAATTCAGTAGCATAGCTGGATACAAAGTCAACACTCAAAAGTGAATAGCATTCCTGTACACAAATAACAAACTCACTGAGAGAGACATCAGGAAAACAAAACCTTTCACAATAGCATCCAAAAAAAAAAAAAAAAAGAGAGAGAGAGAGAGAGAGAGAAATACCTAGGAATCAATCTAACAAAGGAAGTAAAAGACCTCTCCATTGGAAACTATAAACAACGTATATATATGAGTATGTATATGTATATAGAAATAGTTAAGATAGTTATGCTGCTGATTTCTCTGAATTCACTGAAGAGAAAGATTTGTGCTGGTACTGTTCGGACAATTGAATGCAGGTGTCTTTGCTCTGGGTGAATGATTTGGGGATGACAATGAGCAATGTGTGTACCTGGTTAATGTGTTTTGAAATTTTGCTCTTTTTTTTCTTTCTTCCTTTTACTTTTTCTCCTTGAAATAAAATGGATTTGAAAAAAATAAAACTACAGTACTCTAAAAAACAAATATTGAAGAAGATATCAGAAAATGGAAAGATATTCCTTGTTCTTGGGTAGGAAGAGGCCAATATAGTAAAAAATGGTTATACTTTCAAACTTGTTATACAGATGTAATGCATTCCTGATCAAAATACCAATAGCATATCTCATAGAATTAGAAAAAAACAATCCTAAAGCTCATTTGGAACCAAAAGAGACCTAGAATAGCAGAAGCAATTCTGGGCAACAAAGGCAAGGTAGGGGACCTCACAATCCCTGACTTGAAATTACACTGCAAAGCTATTTGATTAAAAACAGAATGGTACTGGCCAAAAAAAAAATAGTTTTCCACATACCAAAAATTAAAAATAGATCCATGTCTTTTACCACGTACTAAGATAAAAGCAAAATAGATCAAAGATCTAAATATTAAAACAGAAATACTAAATCTGCTGGAAGATAGAATCGCTGGAACTCTCAAAGACTTTATGAAAAAGACTCAATTCCACAAGAAATGTCAGAAAGAATCAACAACTGAGATCTTATTAGAAAGCTTCCATACAGCAGAAGAAATCACCAATGGAGCGAAGAAACAACCCACAGAGTTGTAAAAAAATTTGCCAGCTGTTCCTGAGACAAAAGACAAATATCTAGAATATAAAAAAAACTCAAAAAATCACACACTCCCCAAACTTAAAGACACAATTCAAAAATTGACATCTATAATGAATAGACACTTCTCAGATGAAGAAGTAGAAATATATGAAAAAAAATGTTCAACTCATTGATCATTTGAGCCATGAAAATTAAAACAATGCTGAGACTCCATCTTTCTCCAGAAAGAATGGCTATTATCAAAAAATCAACCAATAACAAATGCTGGCAGAGCTGTGGGGGGAAAGAAACCCTTCTCCACTGTTGGTGGGAATACAGACGGCTGCAACCAATATGGAAACCAGTGTGGAGATTGCTCAAAACTAAAACTAGAGATCCATTCAACACGACTGTTGCCCTCTTTGGTATTTTCCCAAAACAATTACAAGCACCATATCACAGCAATATATGCACACCCATGTTTATGATGGCACAGTGTGCAATAGCTAAATCTTGGAAGCAGCCCAAATGTCCATCAACTGAAGAATGGATAAGGAAGGTGTGGTTTTTATACAATGGAGTTGTACTGCTTTGCCATAAAGAAGCATATGCTTGAGACATTGCTAGCTGAATGGATGCACCTCAGAACCATACTCTTAAGTGAAATAAATTGGACACATGTTTAAATACCATTTGGTGTGAGAAATTAAAAGTGTAAATAAGGATCAAAATATAAAAACAGATACTGAGAAATGGGCAGAAACTGTTCCAATGATAAGGGGAATCAGGGAGGGGAGGAAAGAAGGAAAAAGCAAAAAAAAAAAAAGAAAAGAAAAGAAAAAAAGACTAAGGAAAAATGGAAATGAAGCTTCTGTAAATAAGGAGTGGAAGGGAGAGGAGGAGAGTAAGAAAAGAAGAAGCAAGATACAACCTGTACAGGTACAAACTCCCTATGGTGAATGTGATCACTATGTACCAATAAAGTTTTTTAAATGAAAAAAAAAAAAAGCCCACACATGACCTGGAGTCCAACAGCCAATGCAGTCCTTCTGCCCAGCCTGGTCTTTCCCAGCAGTGTTTCTAGCAGCCTTCCGGCCTTCTGAGTTCTGGCCAGAGTCTCTCATCAAGCACAGCCTCAGTCTGCAAACCTTTCCAAACCCTTCCCACAGGCCAGTCCGAAAGGCTGCTGGACCACACGGTCAGGTAGAGTCATGGCAATGAGGATTGTAATAGTTGCTCCTAATGATTCCAATGTAATAAAATGTTGACAAATTTAATATTGATTCTTAAATACTGTTAAACCTATGCTATAATCTTCAAGTTATGAAATGTTAAGAGAAAGCATTGTCTGAAGAAACCTTGCCTTCTGTTCTAGGGAAAGAATTAGTGTTTTTCTGTTTGTACACAGGATGCTTATAACATATTAGGCTTATTAATGAACTTGTTTTTGCTGGGCATGGTGGCTCCAGCCTGTAATCCCAGCACTCGGGAGGCTGAGGCAGGAGGATCATTGCGAGTTCGAGACCAGCCTAGTCTACAAAGTGAGCTCAAGGCCAGCCTAAACTGCATAGCGAGACCCTGTCTCAAAAAGAAAAAATAATAATAATGATCTTATTTTTGTATCTGGAGACAATGGTTTAAAGAACCATAGTCAAGTTAACAAAGTGTAGACTGTGATACTTAATTCATTGTGTCAACTTAAATAAGTAGCACCCAACTAAATTGGCTCACATAGTTCTGAGTGTAGAAGACCTGCCCTAGGGAAAATGCTAGAAAAGAGAAATAAAACAGGAAGAAGGAAAGACTGCTTCTGTCTTCTTTGGAAGGGCTACAGTCTTCACATTGGGTCACGTTCCCAGTCGTTTTGTTGTTTTGTTCTGTTCTGTTTTGGTTTGAGACAAGGTCTCACTATATAGATCAGACTGGCCTTGAACTCAGTATGTGGCTTGTGCCTCAGTTTCCCGAGTGCTGGTATTACAGGTGTGAGCCTCCATACTTGGCTCACTTCTTTTGTTCTTTATGAGACAGGAACTCACTGTATAGTTTAGGCTGGACTTGAACTCACTATGTGGTTTAGGCTGGCATCGGCACAGGGACCCTCTGGCCTCAGCCTACTGAACGCCGGGACCATGGACATGAACCACCATTCCCAGTTTATAAATTAAACATTTCCCAGAGAAGAAAGATAATATATCCAGAGTTCCACACTCTGCCATTTCAGGTATCCACTGGGGGTTTTAGATAAGGTAGAGACCGCACTGACAGCACCTTGCGGGCTGGCCCTGACATGAGAGAAACAGTAAACTCCCTAGGCCTGCAGCCCCAGGCCTGGCAGAGGATGCCTGACATCTCCGTGGAGCTTTAGGGCAGGCAGAGGTGTCCTCTTTGAGAGGACCACCAGCAGCACACCGGTGCCCAGGATTTGGGCGTGGCATACAGCTCCCTTAGGATGCTCCTCGGCTGGATCCTGCTACCCGGCACGGCCTCCAGAGTGAGCAGAGAGAGCAGGGAGAAGGTTCTGTATGACGTTCAGGTGCCGTCCTCCTCCATCCTGTCTTCCCAGCAGGACCAAGGGACTTGGAAAATCTGGCCATGTGAGGTTCTGCATGGTGCCCCCAGCAGGCTCCTGTAGCTGTCCCTGGACCGACTGTTGGAGTTCGGGAACTGACCTCTGAAGACAACTGCTTTTGAGACCTAGTTTCTAGCAGCTTTGGTGTTGAGCGCCAGGCAGGACCCATGTGGACCATGGGGCACAAGTTACCAAGTGCCTCCAGGTGCCCATCTTCAATTAAATGTATACCACGGTTCCTTATCAATGCCAATGGGACAGACGACATCAGACTGCAGCAGGTCCTGAAGGCAAGGGTGGATGACTCAGGCCCGCCTGGCACTTTTGTTACTTCGTGGCTCCTCACCCACAGTCCATCCACATGATGTCACAGGGAGTCTCTTCTGACCACAGGCTTCACACTTGTTCCACGTGCTCTGCAGACACCACGTAAACATGGGTAGATGTCACCATACAGACTCAGTAAGTGGTGAAACGTCCAGGACAGAATCTCAGACGTACACCCCGCTGCTCACTAGACATTGGGAGATGATCAGCAAATGCTAACCTACTGGGACTCGCAGGCAGAGCTCACGGATGGTGGGCAACATTGCAACCACCGACCCCAGGACCAGGCAGAGACAGCTCTGCTCAGAACCAGACTGCCACCCCTGGGGACCCTAGCAGAGGAAGGTCCAGGCCTACACCCTTGGGAGAGGTTACAGAGAGGAGTGCAGACAGCTGAGTAAATCTGTGAAGCCCCTGACGGGGCACAAAGTTCTTTTCCACTGGGAGGGACAGAGGAGGACCCCTGATGGTAGGTGGTGGCCATTCTGAGCACTCACAATATGAGGGCTGGGAGAGCAGGGATCATGTGTCAGTGGCCACCTAAGCAAGTCACCTCACAGCTGAGCCCAGAGCCCTGGTGAGTGAGCCAGTGAGTGACACCACTCCCACCTGCCAGCTGCGGGGCTCCCTCTGCTGTCCCTGCAGCATCCAGGCTTCTGCACTCGCCCCAGGGCCCCAGCTCCCTGGTGGCCGTGTGGCCCCACACAGTGTCGGGTACAGACTATATTCCTGTGCGTCCCGAAATTCACATGTTGAAATGCTCACCCTCAAGATGATGGTGTTAGAAAGGTTCGTTTTGAGAGGCAATTAGATGGCAAGGGTGCCCCCTCATGAGTGGGGTTAGTGCCCTTGTAAAAGGGACTCCGGAGAGCTCCTAATTCCTTCCCCCATGCAAGAACACAGCAAGAAGATACCACCTGCAAACCACGCGTGGGGCCCTCACCCACCACCAAATCCGCCAGCTCCTTGCTTGGGGCCTTGGCCTTCAGCACGATGAGGTGTGAAGTTCCGGTTTATGAACCCCAGCCCCGGCCCAGGCCTGTGGTTTTCTGTTAATAGTCGCCCAAACGGACCCGGACAGTGGCAAGAGGACTCCACCAGCTCAAGCAAAGGACTAAGTTCCCACTTACAAACACCTCTCTCTTATTTTGAGAGAAACAAATTTCCATACCAAATAAGGCGGTGGACTCCAGAGCCACTGCCCACTTCACACAATTCCTTTTAAGTGTCCAAATCCAATCAAACTTGGAACTTGCCTGGATTAGGCCTCCCCCAGTCTCCTGGTATAAACAAACAGTCCAGCTGGGCCCCAGCTGCCTGTCCCCAGAGGAGGCGGCCAGTTGGTCACCACCCCCCTGCCGCCAGGCCAGCCTCTCTCTGCAGGGAGTGGCCCCAGCCTCCAGCAACCCAGAGCCCTCTCCTCTCAGAAGCCCCAGCTTGTTGCACAGTCCAGGGCTCCCTCCTGCTCTTGGGCGGTTGGGTAGGGGAAGGGGCCACAGCTTCCTCCACAGACAGTGTCGGGAGGCGGGAGGCGGCAGGCAGGTGCAGGGAAGGGCTATTTCTGCAGTCTCTTGGATGCTGCCAGAGGTCCCCCTTCCCCCAGTCCTGGCACCATTTGCTCCCACAGGGAAAGTGTGAATTCCCTCCAGCTCCTGGGTCATGAGAAAGTTGGCCCAGGCAGGGCTCTTCCTTGAGTAGCTCCCTGCCCCACACTCTAGGGCACAGCCCTGAGTCCTGCACCCTACCCACATACCCTATCTCAGGGCCAAACCCCACGCCCTGGCCACTAACTTGTTCCAGGACCCCTGGATGGGGAGACTGACTCACCCTCCACAGAGCAGTGCACACTCAAGGCACCAGGCACCATCGCCGCCAGCTTGCCTGCTTGGGCCAGGAGAGCGCTGTGATTTTCCACTTGCACCATCTGATTGCTATTAGAGCTGAAGAAAGGGAATTCCTGATTCCTTAAGCCCATGGGGGCCTTAGGCTGGTTCCGGGGTGGGGAGAAAGAGTAGGGTGCATTGGGGTACTGCCACTGTCCCTCTGCCCATTCTGCACTGCCTCCCGCAGAGCCCTCTCCTGCTATTTCTCAGTTTCCCAGTGTCAGTCCCTTGGTCAATGGAAACAACAGGATGGAGATGGCCCCTCTAGCCCAAAATGCCCACTGCGGGGAAGAGCAAAGTATCAGGAAAGTGGACAGCCCAGGGCTCCCTCTATGGGGCCGTCTGGAGGAGCCACGGGGTGCGCGGGAGATTAGCAGCTGGACTTGGCTGGCAGTGTTCGGGCCAATGCGACGTCACCAGGCGGAGAGATGAGTTTCCAGTGGAGCTCTGGGGGGGCTCCTGAGCAGGGCATTCCTTCCTGAAGCCTCATCAGGCTCAGCCCCTTCTCCTCCTCCCCTGCCCTCCCTCTCCTGCCGGGTTTGGAATTGGGTTTGGGGCGGGTTCTGCTTCCAAAGCCATCTCCTCCTGCAGGCTCCGTCCTCCGCCCCGAGCTCCCTCTCATTTTTCCGAGGCTCTGGGCAGTACTTGGACTGGCCTGCTGCCCTGGTGGGTCGGCTACCAGGAGTCCCAGGAGGAACCCTCCACAGGGAAGGCCTCCTTGGACCAGGACAGCTGCAGGTAGCTCTCTGGGGCCCGGGGACCAGGGGAGGGCTGTCCTGGGATGGGACTGCAGGGTGAAGGCCAGGCACAGCAGGAAAATCAGGTGGACATTCTCAGCACTGGGAACGGGCACTGCTAGGGAAGGCAACTAACAGAAATCCCACCCCTCTGAAAGCAGGAACCCCAAAGATTAGGGCTGATGCCTGCCAGAAGACTTTTACCACTTCCAAGCCTCGAGGACTCCCAAAGACACTGGAGGACTTTGAGAGTCCCCCTTCTGGGTAGCAGGCCCCGGTCTGGACCCCCAACCCCATCTGGCGTCTCCCCAGCCCCTAGCTGTCCTCCATGGCCAGTCCCTGTTCTGTCGTTCTGCGGGTGGAGGCTGCCCCATCCCTCCTCCAGCTTCACATCCAAGTGTGCTTTCTGGAAGGCCTGGAAGGGAACACCCAGTGGGCAGCATCCCAAGCCCGGGGAGAGGCTCTGTTACTCTCCCTCGCTCCCACTACCATGAGGACTGAGCCCCGCTCCACTCAGGAAAGCAGTAGAGGCAGCCCCAGAGGGACACCTGGGGATCAGCCTGCACAGCCCGGGACACTGGGCAGCTGTGGTCTCATGTTTTCCCTGGCTCGCCGCGCTGAGACAGAATCAGCAGCTGATGAGACCATTTGCTGGTCAGGTCTTGGTCCTTTTCCAGCTGTGTTGTTAACAGAGAACCGGGACCTAGAATGAGAGAGTACAGGTTCACTATGCATGTAGGGGAGCAGCAGACACGCATCTCCCATGGCCAGTGGCCTGAGGCCCAGCCAGCACAGTTGGCCCCAGAGTGGGAGTGAGGAAAGAGGCTGTGTTGTGGAGAGTAGGGTGTGAACAAGGGGACAGCCGGAGGAGGAGTGTGAGGAGGAGAGGAGGAGGAAGACAGGTGGCCATGCCATCCTTGGTTTGCCAGTGGGGATGGAGGAGGTAGCTTTGTGGGTCAGCTTTAGAGGGAACCAGCACTGTCACAGCCCTGATCCCCTCAGGGGAGCACACACATCCCATATGCATCACACACGTCTTTAATGCGGCCCATCTGGGATCCACTTGGCTTCTAGATCTCTCTGTGCAGGAGTGAAATCTTTTCAGATTGTCTCCAACAGGACCAGGACCAGGAGAGGATTCAGAGACACGGATCAAACTGATCGGAAAGGTGAGCAGGAATCTACAATGTGTGTCCACTTCGGACAGGGCTGGGCAGTCCCTTGCCAAAGGAGCACCCATAGCTAGGGTCTAGTCTGGCTGGGGTGAGGGGCTTTCCTGAGTCCAACAGCCCTGGAGGCAAAGTTTGGGGCCCAAACCTTGGGCTCATGGGCTTCTAAGAAGGGACACCAAGAAGAGTGGAGGCAGTGGAGTGGGCTGAGGACATTTATGGGCATCCAGGTGGGTCTGGGGGTATAGGACACTGGGAAGGATTGAGCCAGCCCCAGGGAGCGGGAAGCTCTGTGCACCTGGCCAGGAAGGTGGCCCAGAGCCAAGATGGCTGAGGGAGGGCAGAGGAAGTAAAGACCTGCACTCTGGGACACCAGCACTCGGCAAGCTCACACACATAACATCCAGTTCACACACTCACACAGGACCGGGATGCACCCCGGGGTATAGAGGGGTGCAGATGCTCGCAGGCCTCAGGGCTGTACAGCACCCAAAGGTGTGTCAGGCAGGCAGGGGGCGGGAAAGCAGCAAAGCCGCATTGGGAGGGGACCCAAGGCTGACGTAGGGCTGTCGGGTCTCAGAGACCCCGACCCTGCCTAGACCTCTCCAGCTGCAATGGAGCCCAGGCCTCCAGGACGCCAAGGGTTAAAGAGGAGGCGGGTTACTCTCGTGGACCGACATCCCTTGCAGCCAATGATAGGTGTCGCTGCTACGGCTCCGCCCCCGGACGGGAGGAGGCAGCGGGCTAGGCAGAAGAAGGAATTTCAGCGGAATGGAGCGAAAGGGCTGTTCCGCACTCCCGCGGGGGAGGGGGAGGGTCAGCAGCCTGCGGCCGGCTGTGCCCCGTGAGCCCCTTGTGTGCAAGCCTCAGTTTCCCCAATTTCAAGAGAATCAGGGCCACCGTGGGCCTCCAGGCTCGCTCCCTACAATCTTTTTTTTTTTTTTTTTGGAATGAGGAATCAAACCCAGGGTCTTGGGCTTGCCTGGCAAGTGTTGTGCAACCCAGATACATCCCCACCCCGCTACAAGCACCCTGATAATGGACAGATCTGCACAGCTTCAGGGTGTGCGGGGATTGTGAGTGTCTCTGCCCAGGTGACCTTGCTGCCTGAGCCTCCTACACCTGTCAAAGCATAAGAAAGAGCCTGCCCCGTGGCCGGTGTGAGGGCCATGCTTGAGGATGTATAGAAGTGGGCAGGCAGGTGCTTAGCTGGCACTGGCTTGGTGCTAACCACAATGAGCCAGATGACTGGGTGGGTCTGCCCCTCCAAGCACGTGCAGGAGGGAGAGAGACTAGATGCTTTAGCATGTTACAAACCAGAGGCCCAGCCAGAGGCCTCCTCCTCCAGGAAGTCCCCTCAGCCAAATCTGAGGGGTACCCTCCTCCTCTACCTCCAACTGCTAGGGCAGATGACTGGAACCCTGCCTTTATATTGAGCCAGGACACAAAGACGGGGCGGGGGTAAATGCATGTGTGTGAACAGAAGCGGTCCAGCTTTACTAACCTTGCACATCAGAGAACAGAAAGGCCTTCCCAGTGAGTGTCCATGGAGCTCCAAAGGGCCAGCAAGGATCAAAATGAGGGGTGCACAGCCCAAGGTGACTTGCTGCAAATTCCAACAGGACAGTCCCACAGGGCCCTGGGCTCAGAGGCAGAAGGAGATTGCCATGGGGGCAGAAAGCCCTGGGGTTGGGGGTCTAGTGGGGGTGGGACCCCTGTGCCCTGGCTCCACCCTCTCTGCATTCTTGCCAGGTGGGTGTGCAGGCTGGTGAGCGTGAGCAGGAATCTGGACTCACCAGGCCTAAAGATGGCTGGAAACTGCTCCTGGGAGGCCCATCCCACCAACGGGAACAAGGCAAGTGTCATGAGGCGGAGGAGTCCCTGGCTGTCCGAGGAGTATATGGGAGGAGCAGACAGAGCTGAATATCCTCCTCCCCTGCCCGCCTTCCTGCCCCACCCTCTAGCCATGGACCATATGGTCTGCTCCTGGTTACCTGGTTCCTTAGATCCGGTGTCCTTGTTAGTGAAGCAAGCTTGGCCACCCTAAAAATCGCCTTCCATGCTGTCCTTCATTGTCTTTTACCAGCCGTGAATGGTCTCATCTCCTCTCTCCCTGCAGAGGTGGGCAGTTGTCACCTGCCTCTAGGGTGGCCCTGATAGCATGAGCTGCCAGAGCCATACCCACTGTAGGCTGCCCGCTGGTCAGGGATTCACCTCCCTCTGCAGGCACCAGCCCTGCCTGAGCTACAGACAAGCCCTCCAGAGTGACCCTGCCTCCTGCCCTCCTTCTCTCCACTCATATCTCTGCACTTGCTAAAGAGTCAAGCATCCCTTGTGAGTCCCAGCAGAGCACTCAGGTGGAAAGGACCCCTCGGATTTACCTATTCCAAATTCTCGACCTTGAGGCTAGCATCACCAGAGTAACTGGACTCCTGCCCAGCCCCCAGGATTCCCCACCCAATATACCCTTGATTCTTTCCCTCTTCCCCAGGGTGCCCACTGTGGAATGGGGGGAGCCTGTCCCAGGAGGCAGAGGTTGGATGCACTGGGGGCATCTCCAGAAGTCCCCAGAGCATGGACAGCACGATCAGGGAGAGGGCAGGCTCCAGAGTGGGTGCTTTATGAGGTGGCCAGTGTCTAGGAATAGCAGCCCCCGCCCAGTGACTCACCCAGCCTCCTTCTCCTATGCAAGTTTTTTCCAGCCTTTGAGAGCCCTAGAGTGCTGTGCCATCTTGCTTCCTCCCCAGGGTCTATCCCCACTAGTGGAGCCCCAGGAGTCCTGGAATAATCAAATCCCCAACCTCCCGCCTCAAAGGAAGTGGAGATCAAGTTAGGCATTTGGATTTGGGGAATCAACAAAGTAGAAAGAGATGTTGAGCTAATGAATATGTTTAGAGGTGCCTGTGAACGACAGGTGTGAGCAGCACCCCATAAAAAGCTTATTTTGAGCAACACAGTGTCCCCAGTGTGTAGCTGTCATCTCCAGTTCCTGTGTACAGATCCCCTCGATCTAAGCCAGCCCAGAAGATCCCTGACTGGGCCAGGGGTCTAGCTCAGTGGCAGAGTGCCTGCCTGACGGGCGTGAGGTCCTGAGTTTGATTCCTGGTACCAAAAAAAGATCCCTCTCAAAGAGTGGTTTCTCAGGAGCAGCCTTCTGTCAGGGCCATCTGCAGGGAGCAGAAAGGATCTTGCCTCTAGGACCTTTCTATGTGCACAGGCATAGTGGAGGTTTCCTTTTCTGTTGTTTCATTCAAAAGCCCTGAGCAATGGAATGGACCATCCTTGGGGACCATGGGCTGGGATGCATTAGTGATGTCTGCAGAGGTGTGGGAAGGGCAGTAAGGTGCTACGGGCAGCCTTTGCCAGGAGGAATATGAGGGCCAAAACAACCTGAGGATGGAGTCACCTGAGATGGGTTGTGTTTGCCTGCAGTGTCTTTTAAATGTTAACACTGAAAACTCAGGACCCTGCACACACACTACAATATAGATTTCTGACCACTCTGGGGAGCAGGGAGGAGGATCCAGCTCTACTTGCAGCTATGGCTGGCACCCACCCACCAGAGCAGGGCAGGCTGTCCACCTCATTCAGAATGGTGCCCTTGGGTTTGCCGCTTTCCAGTCTCTGGCCCCTGGCCAAGCTTCGTGCATTTATATACCTGCCCAGACCTTACAGGCAGGACTGGCGTTCAGCTGGGTTTTGTCTTTACAGCTTTCTATGGCCAGATGAATCGCAGATGTCACAAGCCTTTCCCCCTCCCCAGAGATCCCCTGGGCTTTCCTATAACCCAGAATCCTGACACTGCCTCCGATCCCAATTCTCTCTGACCTTACTATGGAACAGAGTCCTCCTACCCTAGCTATGCCAGAGTCCAGTTTTCTTTTCTTCTAGTATTGGAGAGTGAATCCAAGGAACACTGAGATACATCCCCAACCCTTTTTATTTTGAGACAGCATCTTACTCAATTGTCCAGGCTAGGCTCAAACTGGCAGTCTTCCTGCCTCAGCCTCCTCAGGATCTGGGCTTATAGGCCTGAGTCACCATGCCCAGTTGTATTGTATTTCTCTAGAAGTAAATATTTTGTTGTTGTGTGTTTTGTGGTACCGAGATCAACTCATGACCATGAGTTTGCAAAGTGGGAGCTATGCCCTGAGCTAAATCCCTGGCTGTGTATTGGTTTTGAAACACTGAGAAAACAATTTGCAAGTCATTTGCAAGCACAGGAGGTGAAAATCCCTATCCCTCTCTCCTCCCTTCACTTGTCAACCTTTCCTTATGTGTATTTTCTATGTATCGTTCAATAGATAGAATTTTTTGCTAGAATCACTTAAAAGTAAATCACAGACCCCAAACTCCTTTACCTCCAAATAACCCGAATCTGTCTCGAACAAGGACACTCCCATGCATAACCTGAGTCCACTTCCACTTTCCTACAACATAACATGGAAGCAATACCCTTGTCTGCACGCACACCCTGCTCTCCTTCTCCTGGGGCCCGCCACCCTTTGTTGGCAATTGCTCAGGTCCAGTATGTAACACTGGGTTCCTTAGTCCTGTCTGTTTGGTCTCCCTCAACCCACAAGGCTCCTCAGTTCTCCCTAATTTTGCATGACGGGGGCGTCATGAGACCGAGTCTATTCTGACTGGTGGACCCTGAGGGGCTGGCTGCTGTAGGGAGGGTGCTCTGTGCTGCTAGCTCAAGTCCCTGGGAAATAGTGTGTCAGGTGACAAAGGGGCCATTGTCTGCTCGGCCACAGTCAGTGACCCTACAAACCCTGCCCCACCAGGGCAGGGGAGCCAGGCCCAGCTGCAGATGCCAGCCTGGTGGTTCGGGGAGGGTAGCCACATAACCAGGTGTCTCCCTTCTGCACCTGCACAGATGTGTCCCAGTGGGCATGAGGTCTCAGAACTCTACAGTCGAGGCTTCCTGACCATTGAGCAGATCGTCAAGCCGCCGCCCCCGGCCATCATGGACTACATTTTCCTGCTGCTTTGCCTGTGTGGCCTGGTGGGCAACGCGCTGGTCCTCTGGTTCTTCGGCTTCTCCATCAAGAGGACCCCCTTTTCTATCTACTTCCTGCACCTGGCCAGCGCCGACGGTGCCTACCTGTTCAGCAAGGCCGTGTTCTCCCTGCTCAACACAGGTGGCTTCCTGGGTCCCTTCGCCGACTACATCCGCAGTGTATGCCGGATCCTGGGGCTCTGCACGTTTGTCACCAGTGTGAGCCTCCTGCCTGCCATCAGCACAGAGCGCTGTGTGTCAGTCATCTTTCCCTCCTGGTACTGGCGCCAGAGGCCCAAGCATCTGTCAGCTGTTGTGTGCACCCTACTCTGGCTCCTCGCCCTCCTGGTCACCGGCATTCACAACTACTTCTGTGTGTTCCTGGGCCGCGAGGCCTCCGGGGCGCCCTGCAGGCACATGGACATCTTCCTGGGCATCCTGCTCTTCCTCCTCTTCTGCCCACTCATGGTGCTGCCCTGCCTGGCCCTCATCCTGCACGTGGAGTGTCGTGCCCGGCAGCGCCAGCGGTCTGCCAAGCTCAACCATGTCATCCTGGCCATCATCTCTGTCTTCCTCGTATCCTCCATCTACTTGGAGATTGACTGGTTTCTCTTCTGGGTCTTCCAGATCCCAGCCCCCTTCCCTGAGTATGTCACCGACCTCTGCATCTGCATCAACAGCTGTGCCAAGCCCATCGTCTACTTCCTGGCTGGGAGGGACAAGTCACAGCGGCTATGGGAACCCCTCAGGGTGGTCTTCCAGCGGGCCCTGCGGGATGGTGCCGAGCTGGGGGAGGCCGCGGGCAGCACGCCCAACACAGTCACCATGGAGATGCAGTGCCCCTCTGGGAATGCCTCCTGAGCAGCCAGCATTCGGGGAAGGATGGGACAGGAAGTGACCAGTGGCCTCCAAACATGCTGTGCCACAAGACAGAAACAAGGCGGCAGCCTTCATGCTTGGGTGGAGGGGAAAGGTCTGTCTCCAGCCCCTTATGCCTCCTTCTCCCTGGGCTGTGGGCTCAGGCAGTGACTGAGAGGCCAAACAACTATCTGCAAAGAGAACCAGTGGCCCTGGGCCCACCAGCCAGTCTGCTTCAGTGACTCACAGTACCAGAGTTGCCTCTATGAGGTGAGGTCCCTTGTGCCTCAAGCTGGTCAGTAAGAATACATGGTCACCTGGCCCCGTCCAGCTTCTGCCCCTTTGTGAGCTCTTGTTGAAGGTTACCCAGCCAGTGCCACCCCCCACAGGAAAAGGGAGTCCATCTCTACAAGGCAGCAGCAAAACAAACCCAGGTGGTGTGGAGCTCTCTGGCAGAGGGTCCTGCTAACCTGCCATGTAACCGAGTCTTTCCAGAAACAACATCCAGCTACCCCTGATGAATCATCGGTGACATGGCCAAAATGACTGGCCCTGCTGGAGGCTGGACTCTTCGGACATCTTGGGTGGCTGACTGCCTTCCTGCTTCTGTGCTCGGCCAGTCCTGGGCATTCTGTGTATCCCCCAGGTCACTATGGACCATCTGGGAAGCTCCTGGACAGAGTCCTTGGGCTCCAGCACCCATATGACAGTGGGCTCCGGCTCTACCTTGACCACCTGAGGACTGACACTGTGGTACCCGTCAACAAACACAGTGACCCTGTGTTGCCAAAGGAAGTTTTATAAAAGGCAATAAAATGTATATCAGTAAACATTTGCTGTCTGGCGGTGAGGCAGCTGACCGCGTACACCCTCTCTGTGCTCTTTCACGGTGAGGATGGCAGCAGCCACTCCCCACCATCTCTCCTGAGCCATCTGCTCTTTTCCTCAGCTCTGACGCTGCCTCCTCTGGCTGGCTGTGCCCACACCTCCAGCCTTCCTCCCTCTCCAACTGGCTCTGTGTACACCCAGTCCTGCCCACCCCTTTCCTGGTGGCATCCACTCCTATGCCGGAAGAAGCGATGGTTGCTAGGCTGTCCTCTGTTGGCTTATGTCCTTGGGCCTCCATCCCAGGAAGCTTGGTCCTCATCTCTGTGCCCTGCTCTGTAGAAAAGACACAGAGCCCAGAGGGGCTGCCTGGAGCAGGTAGCTGCCTCTCTGTTACCTCTCTGTCCTGGAGCCCCCAAGCACAGGCTGGCCCCTGACATCTCTCTATATGCCATTCATAGGCTGGTGTGGGTCTGAGCCAGAGAAGTTTCTGACAGCTTCCCACCCCCCAGCCACGCCTCTGCTCAGCCCCACAGAGGCCCATCCTGGGTACCTGCTGTCCAGCCTGGCCCAGGCTCCCAGCCCCTTTGCAGGGAGCTCTTGGGGAGAGGCCAGGCCAGAGGCGGATGGGGTGGGCCTGTCCCTGGAGAGAGCTGGAGCAGACAAGGAAGGCAGGGAAGGTAGGAGCAGCATCCCTGGCATTCAGTGCCTGGCATGCAGCCTGCACTCCGTGAGCCTGCCCAGCTTTGCCCTGCATAATGACCCAAGGCAGGGGTCCAAATCCATGGCCCTGATGTCCCATTTCTCAGCCAGCCTGACATGCCCCTCCTGTTCACTCCAGGCCACAGCCCTTCTGTGCTCTGATTTCTAATGGTCCCAGCTAGTCCTCCCAGCAAGGCCACTGCTCGATGAAAAGAAGGACCCTGTGGGCTCAGTGGGAGGTGCCGGTTCCAAGAGCTTCTGGTGATGACAGGATTTCAGTGCCACCTGTCCCATGTCCAGTGCTAGTTTTCCTGGCCTCCCCAGTGCCACTTAGAGAGTCCCAGAGACATGGGGTTGGATGTGGTGGTCTCCAACCTTGCAGGCATGGCATTGGTGACACACATGAAGGCTGTGCCTGGCGCCCAGTGGTGAAATTGCCACAGCTCAGATATCCTGGCTGCAAGATCCCGGACTCCACATGGACAGAAACACCTCCTAGCTCTGAAAGTGGCCGAGGGGCCAATGGGTGTTCTGGCTGCCTAGGGCGCATGCATCTCAATTCCTGGGAAGTCGCCTTCTTCTTAGGCGCCCCCAGGCCTCCAGCCCTGAGTCCACTGTCAGAACAAAGGACTTCCTGGATTCAGTCCGCAGACAGACTGTCAGAGCTAGGCAGATCCCAGAGGTCAGGATGGGGCTGTCCAAGAAGGATGCTGAAGTAGATAATAGTGTGAGCTTCAGGGATTGGCCTCTCTCTGGGATTGGCCTCTGGAGCTTTCTGCTGTGCAGATCACTGCTGCCCAAGGGAGCCAGCCTTTCTGTCCATCCCAGCCCCACCCCCACATTCCATTCTAATGAAGGCAAGACAGCTTTAGGGCTAAGTAACACAAACCGAAGGCCACTTTCCTCTCTCCTGCAATGTTACTAGATAAAGTGGGCTGGGGAAGAGTGGGCTGCAGGAGCCTGATGTGTGCCCCTCACTGTCTACACCCCACCCCCTCCCCTGGCCGCACAACTGGCTCCCAGTGGACCCCCAGCCTCCTCCTTTCTGGGCATTTGGTACAGGCAAGGAGCTGGGTGACCTAAGGACCACAGAGCTCTGTCCTGAAACTCTGAGGCACAGCTTTGCTCTGTGACACAGCAGAGATTGCAAGTCCTATTAAGGAGCTGCTGGACTGCACTGGGTTGGTTATTACTGAGCCTGACTTTCTTCCAGCTGTGACATGGAGCAGGGTGCAGGGCACAGCACAGGGCAGCACCCTACGGTTTCTCTTACTTCCTGTCGCATGCTAGCTCTACAAAAATAAGCAAGAAGAGACACACACTCTTCTGGATCATGCAAGGGATAAACAAGACCAAATATGGAAAGTCAAGAGTGAGCCCCAGGGAGGCAGAAGGCTGCTCTGCTGCTGGGACCTGAGCCTTGCCGTGCCTCGGTTTCCCCATACGGTACTGTGCAGACCTCACAGTGTTGTATAAAGTACCTGCAGGCTGTGCCCAGCACACCCAAGGGCCCTGGCCAGGCATCCAGGCAGGATCTGTTAGTACTCGCTATGGAATTCAGTGCTCACAAAGGGAGTTTCCTGTCCGGGATCAGTCACCCAGGTCCAGTCCTCGTCGGAGCCCCACATCAGCACCCAAAGTCTCCCTATGGTGGCCATCTTGTGGCCGCTGACCGCAGTGTGTCCCACCAGCAAAGCACTGAGACTTGGACTCAGGGAGCTGATGGGGTGAATGTGCCCATCACAACCTAGGTAGTGTCTACAGTTTGTCAAGGCCAAAGGAGGAAGTGGGTCCATTTCTACCTCTAGAAGACACAAAGTGGGAACAGGAGGTGGGTGCTCGGGAGACAGCAAGTGGCCCACAGGCCCGGGCCTCTCCTCCCTCTATTCTCCATCCCAGCCAAAGGCACAGATGCCTCTGGCATCAGCCCAGCACTCCGGGATGTCCTGCCAGCTGTGGTTTTCAGATAACTTGGGTTTCAGAATCCATGCCAGAAAATTTAAGCTCAAGACCTATTCGTATCTGCGCCCTTGGTTCTGAGTCGCCAGCCAAGACAATTCCTCCTTCCCAGGAATCTTGGGCTCATTGAGGAGGTGGGTGGAGAGATGGACCCACCCAGTCACTATCCCAGGAGGAGCGTGGGGAAATGCGCCCTGCGGCTTGTCAGTGTCTGACCCAGAAATTGAGGCAAACCTTTCAGAGGGCTTCCCGAATCAAACCCACCAAGAGCACCACTGCAAAAAGAACAATATCCTATGCCAGGAGAGACTCAAAAGTTGAAGCTGGAAATAACAGGGTATGGGTCACAAAATTAAAACTTATGGAAAAACTGCTCTGATGACTCAGAAAGCCAGCGCAGAGTTTCCTGGCAACTCAAAGGCAGGCTCACCTACTTTGGCAGATTCGTTGAAAAGTCTTTGTAAGGCACCCATTTAATATATGGTCCAGTGATCTTTGATCAGTGTTTATATGCCCATGTAGTCACCGAATCAATACACAGGGTGTTTTCAGCTTCCCAAAGAATGTTTCCATCTCTCCCCTTCAAAGCTTCCTGCTGTCATCAACCGTCAATCCAGCACCACCGCCCACGGCAACATCTCTGCTCCGTGCTGTGTTGACCTGCGACCCAGTCAGACTGTACCCATGTCAGCCAGGGTTCCTGGGGGCAAGAAACAGAATCCCAGGCTTCATTGAACTTGGCACGGGCAGGGGTGGGTATGTGCATATGGAAGGGAACGTATTAACCCACGCACTCAGAAGGTTCCAGAAGGGATTCTGGCTTCAGGCACTGCCAGACCTAAAGCCTTAAAGGATGCTATCAAGGCCCCTCTTTTGGCCAGGTATCAGCTTTGTCCCACCTCCTGGAAGCAACAGTACCATGGGAATAGAATAAATGAGCCCACGGGCATCCTAGCTGGCTACGTCCAAGCAGCTGAGGGCACCAAGGGCCACTTTTCTTTCTCCACTCTTTTTGTTAAAGAGATGCCTAACATCTCCCATACCCGCACGTCCTAAGCGTGCAGGCAGGAAATTAACCATGATGGCTCTGAACCTTCCTAATGTGTCACTGCCTGCCCCACCTGCCCCTCACCGGCCAGGTGGCACAGGTAAGACTTCAGCCTCCATCCTGCCTACAGGGCAGTGGATGTGAACAGAGGGGGAAAACTGTCTTCCCCTCTGTCTCTCACAGCGTGTGTGTGATCTCTGATTCCCGAGGGCAGAGAGGAATTACAAGCCTTCTAGTGAGGACTTGGGGCTTCAGAATGGTCACCCATGCTGCTCAGTCACCCAACCTGCAGATGGCAGAACTTGGATTGGTGAAAGATCCCAGATCCTGGGTCTACTGCTCCAGCCTCTGGTTTTTGGGAAGCAGAGTCCGGCAAGCGCATTAGCCAGAGCACCTTTTCTCGAAGGCAGCAGAGGCAGCTGCAATGCTTTTCCCATAAGAGCCTCCATTCCGTCTGCGGCCCCACCCCAGCTCCCCAGCAATGGAGCCACTAATGTTCTGAGGCCTTCAGGAGCATTGATGCTGCCAGGGTGTCTCAGGAAGGGGTGCCCCTCCTCCTCTCAGGCCCTCAGCCTCATCCTCCAGCTCCCCTGGGAAGGCAGTGGTAGGGCCACACCTGGGAAGTCCATTAGCCCCTCTGGCTCCTCCAGGCCCTGCTCCACAGTCTCCTGGGTAGGGGGAGCCACCTGAGTGAGACAGCAACCTGCCTGCATTTAAGCCTCCGCTTCCCTTTCTGCTCTCAGAGGAAGCAGAGCTGAGATCCTCCAGGGTCCTGGGGAAAGGACTTCTTTGAGGCTGGGATAGCAAAGTCAGCTAGGAGGGTGCAGCCCTACCTGGTGAGACAGTCACAGGCAGGAGCCTCTCAGGGGACCCAGAGTTGTCCAGGCCTCCCAGGAGAAGAGCCACCAGGAACTGGCACCTTACTCTGAGGGATAAGCATCACGTCCAAGGCCAGGTGAGATGCCTGTTTTCTACAGTCTGGGTAGAGGCACGCTGGTTAGAGGTAGATGCTATGCCACCTATGGACCCTGTGGGAGACTCGCTCTGCTGAGGCCACTGAAGCACTGGGGCAAGTGTGCCAGCCCCTCCGAGCTCCATCCCTCCCGTGGGCAGGGCGGGGTAGCAGAACTTGCCTCACAAGCATTTACAAGCCTGATGAGTTCATGAGACCGACCTCAGTGCCTACCATCTCAGAGGCAATGGCAGAGCAGGGACAAAGATGACAACCAAGGAATGCCGGGAGCAAAGTTTTAAGAAGATATGCATACCAAAAAAATAGAAGAAGAAGAAGAAAAA